TCTTATTATTAGGGTATATAGAACGCAACAGACTAAAATAGCAGTTGTAACTAATTATTAGAAACTTCAATAGTTAAAGGAGTATTCACATTGTATTTCTTCGTGAAGCTATACTAATAAATTTTGTTTTCAAAAGAACTAATAAATTAATTGATACATTTAAAGATATGGGTTTTCTGCTGATTAATCCAAGAATTTCAATTGTCTTATCAGGTTCGGTTGAAAAAAAACGATCTATGCAAGCCTGTTGCAAGGTTATTTTTTTATTTTTTTTTATAAAAGAAAATAATTAAAATCAACAATAAATGTTTGTTTTAGTTAGCTGATAGAAAGAAAAATACATTCTCGTTTTTGCATAACAGCCATCTTCTCCAAGCAAACATTTGTTATAGTATAGAGAGCAACTAAACTACAGCATCGATCTCTTGCTATAAAATGATTCTGCTTATGAGACAAATTTTCATCTTGTTGAAATTTGAAAAATATAATACTAATATGCACTGGTTCAAAGTTATTAACAATAGAAATCGTATAAATCAGACTAGAAAGAGATCAGAACCTTTTCCGTTTTTATAAGAAATGCCTCATTAAGCAACTAAATCAATGCTCTGTTTTTTTCAAATAAAGTATCACTTTAGTTCATTTAGGTCTGCACAATCCAGAAGCTATACCATTTCTATCAATAATCCATCAGTTTTGAGATCAATCTATGTTGGAAAAATGAAATTTACCGTTATCGTAATATCTGAGTGTGAAAGCAGATATCTGATCGATGACTAGAAGAATCTCTACTGTCTTCCTTGTGTATTACTTTATTATTTTTTTTCTGCTTATTACTTATTACCAGTAATAATAATGAAGTATCTGTAGTCAAAATCTAAATTTCATTGTTTCTGCATCAAATAATCCAACTAAAATATACAAGACTTGAATCGAAGAGTACAATAACCTACATTCAAGAAGCTCTGGATGCAATTGAGATACAAATTTCATACTATTAGTGTTGATTTTTGTGAAAAACAAAATGAACTTCAGTAATTTATTTTCAACAATGTTGTTGAGATCGATTCACATAAATGCTTCAAGATTCTATATCATAAAGAAGAAAAGACAAAAAAAAAATAAAATAAAATATTGATGCAACAGTTACTTGCGCACTTATTTTATAATGATTGTAAAGTCTCTTCAAATTCATATGGAATGCATTTCAAATAAAATAAAATCGAATGGAAATCAATTTACAGACATATAAAGTGCGGCTATTGAGGCATTACCAATAGGTGCTTTGCCTCTTTGTGCGAAGCGCAAGGCCGGATCTGTACTCCAGGATGTATTAATTTGCATATTTTCGGCCGTTTGTTGATAAGTAAAACGAAGCGATGGATGTCGTTGATTGATCTGTTGTACTGCAGCCATGCCTGCTTGAACTTGTAATTGTTCACGCATTGATCGTTCGGATGCCAAATAAATCTTGCTCAGGCCAACATGAGTATGAGCCGTACATTTGTAATATAATTAATTGCTTCATAATATTCTTGCGGTGCCATTTTCCCTTGTAACCAATTCGGATTAAGTAGAGAATTCGGATTGAAAAATCCATTTGCACCTTCAAACTTGATAATACCACCGTTCATAAGTACGGCTGCAGGTAAACGAGGTGCAAAATTTGCGATTTCAGCTTCAACTTCTTCTACGGTATACGCCGAAAATATGGAGCTACTACAACCCATTTTCTTTATAAATTGATTGTTAGATTGTAAAATAATAAAGATTCAACAAGAATGACGACAGTTCTGATTGACGACTACGTCACTCGTACTTGTTCTGCTTTACGTTTGTTTTGAAGCTTGTGAGGCGAGCAAAGAAAAAGAATAGCATAAAAATAGTACGCGTCACCTACGTTACTCTAATGTTTATTCTTTTCCCTTTCCTCACTCTTTGCATACTCTTCACATAGTTGACTCATAAGAGTAAAATATACAATGCAAAATATGTAAACATTTGAGGACAAAATTATTGCAAATTTATTTTAGTATAAAATATTGAGTTTATACATGAGACAAATTTACCTAAATATATATGAATATTACAAGAGTAGACGCTTAGAAAACAAATAGAAGTTAAAAACGAAGATGCAAAATATTAATAGACCGTTGGAGTTTCTTAAAAGCATTTTCGAATAATATATGTTAATAGACCGTCGTATGTTTCATCGATCATATTCACGTTCCCAAGCAGACCTCGCAGAGCCAACGATGGACAGTACGAGCAATCGAAACTTGAAAATATTTTTTTCTCGTTCTGTCCAGACTTCGAGAACTTCAGAAACCATTAAATATCGAGCCATCGGATACATTTTCTCATTGCACATTCATCTTTGACTCCTCGAAACCATTTCAATCACTCGAAAACCATAGAAATTGTGATTACTTGTAGAGAGGAGACCTATAGCAAAAGATATTTTCGATTACTCACGTCAATATAATTTCGAATTGTCAAAGTCTATCGAAATATGGAGTGATCGGACACATTATTCCATCGCACATATATTTTTGACTCCTCGGACGAATTTCGATCACTAGATGTATATCAAAATTTCGACTTCTCGAAGAAAGGAGAACTATCAAGAACATACTTTCGAATGCTCGTTTTCATTTTGATCGCTGAAAACGTCTTTGAAATTCTGTTTTCGATCGATTCTTCACTTTTATTCCATGATTTTATTGGAGAAATTTCTGTTTGTTAAATGTTCATGGATTTTGCAACAGAATGTATTAACTCCAGCTAAGATCTATAATAGAAATGGACGCACATTTTTGATGAAACGGTAATCATGGTAGACTATTAGTTATTGAACTCTACAGAAATTCGTATTTCTTCAAATCGCACATATTTGCGATTATTCGTTATCAAAGAGCTAATCGGTGGGATAATCTTGAACGCTCAACTTGTTTTTTCGTCCTCAAAGCTATTGCAGTAGCTGAAAATTCTAAACTAAAAGAGAATATTTCAGTTTAAATTTATCGCTGTTCTAGTTGCAAGATTTCTTTCATTATTTTTTTACATAGTCAAATTTATAAAAATAGAATTTATGCTAAAGCATCAATCTTGCATTTAACACGAGAAAATCTATAACAGATATAGTTGCTTTTGTCATGCAGAGTCAAGCGAGATTATTTACATGGCTCTTCTTCAGGTTTCACGATGATTCCTTTCGAGCGAATGCACTATGAAGTTTCGACAGGATCACTTTACTTTACAGGCACACAAAGTGATATATATCTGTACAGTAGTAGAATAAATAAAAAATAATAAAAATAAAAGGTAGGACACAAAATCCTATCTGTTCTTACATAA